AAAAATAATAACTTTTGATATAAGATTCCTTAATTGCTATTAGGCCGAAATGATTGAAAATGAGAAAAATCGTGGGATATTGCCCATAAAAATTATGAATTTTTTTTAGTTTGCCACTTAGTTGCGATTAGGGAGAAATCGAGGAAAATGTTGTAGCCATGAAAATAGTGAGTTTTTAAAGAATGAAAACTTATTGCTATTAGCATGAAATGATGGAAAATGGACGAAAATCATGAATTATAGTCCGTGAAAATTATAACGTTTAAAGTAAAGTATTGAATTAAGATTGGGTCAGAACATATGAAAATAGAGAAAAATTGTTGGTAGCATATGAAAATTGATAATTTTTGAGGAAAGACAACTTAATTGCCATTGGGTCGAAAAAGATGAAAATGAACAAAAATCATGCCCATGAAAATTGTGAACTTTGAAGTACGCTAATTAATTGCAACTAGGTTGAAACTGGTGAAAATGGAAAAAAAATTGTGGGAGCCTTTGAAATATGTGAAATTTGAAGTAAAACAATTAGTTGTAATTAGGTTGAAACAAATAAAAATGGACAAAAAAGTAATGACTCGTAGCACATGTAAATGGTAAATTTTGAGGGAAGAAAACTTAGTTCTTGTTAAGTCGTAATGATGAAAAATGGACAAAATCATGGGTTATAGCCAATAAAAAGTGTGAATGTTAAATTGTGCCAATTAATTGCCATTGGGCCTAAACATATGAAACTAGGCAAAATTGTGGGTTTTTTGGTAAGAATTGTTAGATGTTATTTGTTACCAAGTAAAGCTTCTGAAGTACAAACGTTTTTTCAACATTACACTGGATTCATCAAATAAAAATTGTGGATTATAGCCCTTTAAAATGGTGAATTTTGAGGAAAGAAAACTTAATTACTTTTGGGCTGAAACCTCGCAAATAAACATAAATCGTGGACATGAAAATTCTAAATTTGGAAGTATGCCAATTATTTACCTTTGAGTCATAATAAATTAAATGGAAAATATTGAGTTATGGCCCATAAAAATGGTGAATTTTGCCGTTGGGCCGTAACGACCGAAAATAGATAAAATGATGGGTTATATCGCTCATGGGAATTACGAATTTTGAAGTACGCTAACAAATTGTAATTTGATCGAAATAGATAAAAATGGTCAAAATTGAGAGTTATACTTAATGCCTATAAAAATCATGAATTTTGTGGGAATAAAACTAAATTGTCATTGTGTTAAAATGCCCGAAAATGGACCAATATCGATGGTTATAGTCTATAAAAATTGTGAATTTTAAAGTATATCAATTATTTACCATTGAAACGAAACAGTTGAAAATGCAAAAAAATCATGGGTTACCACATTAAAATGGTATATTTTGAGGAAAAAATTTAATTTTCATTGGGTGCAAATGATCAGAGGGCAAAATTTTGGGTTATAGTTCATGAAAATTTTACCAATTAAATGTTATTGGATCAAAACAAATGAAAATTTTATGGGTTATAGTCTATAAAAATAGTGAAATTTAAGGAAAAGAAGCATAATTGCAAATTGGATCGAAATAGATGGAAATGAACAAAAATCATGAGTTATAGCACATGTAATTGCAAATTTGAAGTGCGCCAATTAATTATCGTTCGGTCAAAAGATATCCAAATGGACAAAAATATGCTTTAACACATGAAAATGGTGAATTTTGAGGAAATAGTATTTAATTGCCATTAGGTCGAAACAGTAAAAAATGACGAAAACACTTTCATGAAAATTGCGAACTTTGAAATACGATAATTAATTACACTTGGGCCAAAATAGATAAAAATGGACATAAATTGTGGGTTGTAGCACTTGAAAATGGTGAATTTTGAGGAAATTAAATTTACTTGTCATTGGGTGGAAACTATAGAAAATGGATAAAATCGTAGGTTATAGCTATTGAAAATTGAGAATTTTGAAGTAATCCAGTTTTTACCTATTGGGTCAAAGCACATGAATATGATCAAATTTGGTGGTTATAGGTCATGAAAATTGCGAATTTTGAAGTATGCCTATTACTTTCTGGATCAAAATAAATGAAAATTGACAAAATTGTGGGAAATAGTGAATTTCAAGGAAAGAAAACTTAATTACCGTTGGGTCAAAATTGATTAAAATGAATAAAAATTGTGGGTTATAGTCCATGAAAATTGTGTATTTTAAAGTACGCTAATTAATTGCCATTGGGTCGAAAACAGATTAAAATGGACAAAACTTATAAGTAGCACATGAAAATGATAAATTTTGCGGAATTAAAATTTAATTGCCATAGAGTCTAAACTATCAAAATGGATAAAAATCGTAAGCTGCCCATGAAAATTGCGAATCTTTAAAAACACCAATTAATTGCCATTGGATCGAAATCAATAAAAATGGCAAAATTGTAAGTTATGGTTAAAGAAAATGAACAAAAATTCTGAGTTATAGCCCATAAAAATTGTTAATTTTATGGAAAGAAATCTTAATTGCCATTAAGTCGAATTGTTCAAAAAAGGGTAAAAATTGTGGGTTTTAGCCAATGAAAATTGTGATTTTTGAAAATTGCTAATTAATTGTCATTGGGTTTAGCCAATAAAAATTGTGAATTTTAAAATATGCCAGTTGATTACCATTGGGTCGAAACTGTCGTAATGATTAAAATTTTGGGTTAATAGCCCATAAAAATGTTGATTTCTAAGGGAAGAAAACTTAGTCGCCTCTTTGATTAAGTTGATACGGGTGGGCGGTGCATGCGACGCTGACAGCGACGACGGGTGTCCAGGCGGTGACGTGGGGCGACTATGGCGGGCAAGCCGTGGGCGGACGCGACCGTCGTGGCCGGAGGGTGGTCGACAGAATGGCTGGTGGCTGCAACGGGCGGGCGTCGGGGGGGGGGGCGCGACTCTGGGGGTTGGGCGGGCGCGGCGCTAGGGAAGCGACAGGTGACGGTCCGACGGCTGCGGGGGATGGACTACCGTCAACAGCGAATAGGCGGCGGGGGGGACGCGGCACAGTGCGCGGCGCGATGCTTAGATAAAAAAAATGAATCTCAAAACATCTTTTTGGTGTTTTGAGAAAAATGTTTATTTTTTGGATTTTGTAAAGGGTCAAGTCAAAAAAACGTCCCAGTTGATAAACGCGTTTTATTGTTTTTGTTGAAAACAAAAACAGAAACGGCAAAAACGCCACGGTTGCCAAACGCTTCCTGAGAACTTTGTAGGTTTGAGTTGTTAATTCATCAAATCAGTCACACATCAGAAAACTTGTTTTAATCATTTTCATCAGAAAATGTGAACCATTGTTGCCATAGTTATCTTTTGGCACATTTGATTTCATTAGTGGCATTTCACATTGTTGAGAGTTGTTTCTTTATGCATGTTTATTCCCACATTGGCTAGGGACAAGTCTCTTTGTTTTTATGATATTATAAATAATATCCAAGAGAGGGAACTAAGAATCCTCTTAGATTACCTCTTTCAACATTGTATCAGAGCCATCCACTGATCCTTCATCAAATCTCGATCGTCCA